TTATGTTTTCCTTAATCCCCTCTTATAGAGATCATTTGTGCTTCTTTCTTGCTTCCCAAGAAACCCCTTATCTTTTTCTCATAATACCCTTACTTTTTTTAATAAAAACATAGGGATGGTGATTTTGACTATAACCAAACCTAACAATGGACACCCCACAACAATGAATCCAACAACCCAAATAAAATCCCCCAAAAATAATAATGTGTGTGCAATATATTTAGAAAACTAATAGAATCAAGAAACAAGTAATATGAGAAATCTCTATAATCACAACACAAGCAGAAAGTTGAAGGCACGCGGATTAACGTGGTTCACCCAAAATAGGTTATGTCCACGGGAAAGAAGGCAAGGATGTATTCACTATCTCAAGGAATAAATTTACAAGTTTAGATTTTGTAGAGATTACTTCATACATAGAAAGAAAGCTCAATAGAAAATCTGTACCATAATCCCACCATCAATTGAATCCTTGCTTTGCCTCTATCTACTAACACCATCGTCGTAGGGAAACCCCGATCAAATCCAGCCCAATACAAGAGCCACAATGATGCTAGGGTTTACACAAGAAACCCACAATCTCTACTTCCCAAAGCTTCTCTACATCTTTATCTTCTCTTCTCTTTTTTCCTCCTTATTGTTTCTCTCTTTAAAAATGTCTTTTATAGACCTCCATAAAGAGCTTATTTTTTTATAACAAAAATGTACTTTAACAAAAGAAAAATATCATTGGGTCATATTTGCATCACATCCCAACAGAAATTCATTTTTTTCTTATGTTCATTCATCTTGAGGTCGAGATGATCAATATGAAGATATTTAGGCATCCCAATAACCTCTTCTAGTGAAACTTTTGAAGTGCATCTTAATTTGATTGTTTAGAGCCTCGCACTTATATAAATATTTTTTTATTTATTTTGAACGTTATTATTTTTATATTTCACTTATTCATTTTCTTCCTTTTAGCTAGTGCAAATTGGTTGCTAACTTGCTATGTAAATGAAACATTCAAAAAAATTAAAAAATAAATACTAGCCATGTAAATCGAAGTTAATGTGGTGCTTATTAAAAATAAATAGCACCTCGTTTTTTATCGGAATTTCATTGCTGCAAAACAAATCCACAAGTTTGTAATTTGATTTGATTAGTTCGTGATTCTTCATCATATGGACATTTTTAGGACCATCCGTCATTTTTTTATATAAATTATTTTCGACAATCACTTCTTTTTTTCCCCTGTAAATTGAATATTCCAAGGGAAACTTGATATCTCACTTTCATTAAATGAAATTTAAAGAATCACCTGGAAAACATTTTGCCAAATTAACTCAACCATGCCACCAAGAAGTAGCTACATTGAGAAGATTATACTATTTTTTCACCTCCAAAAAGTTGACACAACTATCTGTGTTCAAGCAGTGATATGTTAATAAATTTTCCCCACTTGAGTGGCTACGGCCAAAAGGTATAAATAGTTCCACTAATTTTAAGTTCCAATCTTGAAGCATGTTCTTTTTTTTTATTTTAATAACTAAGTTCCAATCTTGAAGCATGTTCTTTTTTTATTTTAATAACAAAAATCTCTTGTTCTAGATTTGAAATCTGAATTAAGAGTGGATAATTTCTATCATTTGGGGTGACTTAAATGGGTCAAACCAAATGACAAAATAACTACCAAAACAAAGTGGGGTGTTTCAGTAATTAGTTCTTTAGTTATTTGATCCAAATGACGTAGACTATACGAAAGAACAAAAATGATCCAAATGTTATACCAGGAAGAGGTTTTAATGAAAAACATATGCCCTAGGTTTGGAGACTAGAGCAAACTAACGTAATTTTGTGATTTGGCTGAGGTTCTCTTGAGTCAAATGATGAAGCTACCTTTGTTTGTTTCAGATCCCAGACTCATTTTACGAGTTTTTAAATTAAAAAAAAAAAAGTTTTGAGTTTGAAACTCTGAACAAGTTGAGATATTTACGTTATTTGAATTGGTTAACTCAAATTGGACTAAATTGTTAAATAGGCCTTGATTATTCTTGGATATAAACCTAAAACATGGGTAGTTTGAGTACTCTTAACAAAGGGTGTGGTTTGCATAAGGTTGCAATCTTAGACAATAAAATTAAGGTGCACCTCTAAAATTTATCATAAACGTAATTTTGATGTCAAAAATTCTTAGGATGGCTAGAGAATCCTTGTTTACCTATAACTCCAAAAATAAGTCAAATCAAGTAAATCTATGACTATATGAAAATCTAAAGCATGAACGGTCTAGATAACGTGTTGCAAGATACACTATTTTTCATACTGAAAATCTTAGTTCTTTTTTATATTCATACTTCTCGATGTCGAGACGATCAATTAGAGGGCTTTCCAATATTAAAGTAATATTTTATGATGGATTTTGTAAGCACACCTTAATTCTACCTTTTAAAGTGGCGACCTCATATAAACTTTTTCCTTTAGCAAAACACTTGAGGGAGCACTATTAAATTGGTTGATTTAGTGCCTAACTGTTTTTTTAAGTGGTCTCACCATTTGTAATACTTCTTCAAAACCTTATTCAAGTATGTGATTTATTTTTTTGAGCACGTCTGCTACGCTCCTTGGGGTTCAAAACCTCATTACTCCCTCAGGCTTATTTAGAAAGATTTTCTTGATATGAAAATCTCGGTTCACTGTAGAATTACTTGATGAGTACGTTTCTCAAAAAAATGGAAGGATTTCGAGTACCCAAGTACCTAGATCTGGCAGCACAAAATTTGGACGGTCTGATTTGCATACCTAGAGCATGATTTTTAGGTAGGCTAGGGTGAGTAGTCAAGTTTTAGGTTTTCTAGTTTCTAAGTTAAGTAGGTCTCATCCAAAAATTTGGCAAAGTAAAAACTCCTATCTAGTTTTGTTCAAGGCAAGGTTTCAGGTAAATTTAGTCGTCAAAGCCAACCAGTAAACTATTCTAACATTTTTTTTTTTTTTTGTCCTCCTCCTAGGTGAGCCAATGTGCATTTTGCTCTCACATGAATGCATAATCTTTTCATATTTTTTTAACTATAAAGCTTTTAGATTTTAAGTATCTATCTAAAGTTGTAATGTACACTTCTGCTCTTGCGTGAAAGAATAGATATGAATCCTTTTAGGTACCCAAATTTTGTGATATGACTTACAAAATCTAGCAAGAAATCCAATAAACAAGGGTTTAACCCTTGGGATTTGCTTAAAAGAAATCACTCCCTAGTATTGTATATAGATTATCCAATTTTTTAATTATTAAATTAAGGTATCTGGGAACTCAAAATACTTTTTTGCCCGTTTTGTACACTAATCTAGTGATTCTAAAGTTGATACCGAAATTTTACGCCAGAAAACCATCCTAAGTGGGTCATTTACCCGAGGAACCAAGTATACATTCGGCTTCTGTAGATGCTCGATATACACAGTTTTTAACTATTTCCAAATTTGGGGCGTCGTTTTTTAACATTTTTTAACTATTTTCGAAACTTTATTAGGAGCATTTGTTTGCATGCAAACTTCCTCCATCCTGGCAAAAAACAAAAATAAACATAGGAATCCGTAGCCCAAGTAGTTTCTTTTAAGATAGACCTTCTATTTGATGAGATGACTAGATTTGGGAGTATTTTTGTTTTACCCCAAAATTCATAGATGTCCTTATCATGACTAGTTGAACAATTTTTAAAATTCATTTTGTATTCTTAAGGGATTGTCTAGGAAAAGTTAATAGAGAGCTAGGCTCTAAACAATCAAATTGGAGCCTACTATAAAACGTTTACTAGAAGAGGTTGTTTTGATGCCCAAATATCCTCAAATTGATCATCTCAACATCAAGATGCATGGACATGAAAGAAAAAATGGATTTCAAGTTTTAGAAATAATGTACTTTGTAATGCATGTTTGGATTCTCCATTTTCAAGATTTTCAAATTTTCATAGATCTTTCGATCTACTCTATTTTTGAAGCTTTAAACTTTATAAATAAAGATGAAAATATATTTTAAGGCCATTACAAAGATTTCCAGTATTGAAACCACATTTCTCGACACTATTTGAAGGTAGGCTCTAATTTGATTGTTTGGATGGCTTAGGGAGAGTCATGAAGTCTGAGAATTTCTTTTTTGGAACTTTGTGTCAAACCAATGCACTCTTACAACCGCTCGTTTTGAAATCTAAGGGATCAGAATGATTTTGACCTCGTTGTACAAAAGATAAATGGTCTTTTTATAAACGGCCTAGATGTAACTATCATCCGATGGATGCTGCATTGGTGTGAAGAGTGCAAATAAAAGCTTAGGTTCAAACCAATGCCCAAACATGATTTTTCAAAAGGAGGTATTTTCATTGTGGTACTATGAAACCACTTAATGAAATTACTTCATCCTAGTATTATTTCACTTGTTCTCCCAAAGGTGAGGTGCACCACAGGCCTAAACTAGATAATTGTTGCTGCTTTGTGTCACCCCCATTTCTAATACATATGCATAGCAAGATAAGAGTTACTCATCGTAGCAAGATAAGAGTTACACATGGTGGTGTTTCTTTTGACCCTTTCCATGCATACATCACATGTAAATACAAACCCACATGCGAGCCCTCACCCACACGCACCAAAAGACACAACAAAGACAACTGCATCTGAAGTTTTCTGAACAATCGAATTATAGACGAGATGAAGAAAACTAGAAAGGTTCCCATTTTATTTTATTATCTAAGCACTTATGTTTATTGCATTAGCTTTTTTACCTATAAAGCCCAATTTTTGGTGAGTGTTTATGGTCGTCTTCTTTTTATTTTTTTTCCAGTTACAGGTTTCCCAAAATTTTAGGCTCTCAGGTGACTCTCAAGAAAATGAGTTTTTGATGTACACACAAATGAACCATGAATGCTATGTCAAGAATCATGAATCTCAGTAAAACTAAAAAAGAAAAAAAAAAAGAAAAAGAAAAAAAGAAACACGTCATAAAGATGGAAGCTAGGTATTCAGTCATTAATGTTATACAAGACAGACAAATAAGGAGAGTTACAGATCCAAAGAATGATTCCATCAATTCTTTTGCCTTTTTTTTTCTTTTTACATGATTCATACATCTTTGGAAGAAGCAGCAACAATGGTGTTTCTCCCATATTTGCCTTTGATCTTCAAGAGCCATCATCTTTCACCGCTGACGAAAGCATCATAAAACCTCTATCAAAGCAGCATCTGACACTCTGATGAAGTATTTCTTCTACACCATATTTGAACTCAAACCCCAAAGCTGTTAATTTCTGGGAAGATATTCTTGAAGGAATGGCACCTTGGAACTCTACAGGAAATCTTCACAGAACAAAAGACATTTTTATCAGTTCTCTCATAATATTCATATCCATTTTTATCATCTAATAAACAAAAGACAACAATAGATTGGGCCATGAGTTGCAACTATAAGGAAAGATTAAAGGCCAAAATGAAATGAGTATTTCCTTAAAACTTTATTGGAGTATACATGACATTCTCATAAGGAGCAACAAAACCATAGATAATCCAAGGTTATAAGTAAGAAAGAAAAAGGTAACAAAAGTTTCTATTGAAAGCGAATTTTACTTGTGTAAACTGAAAGAGGGATACTCTTGAGAGAAAAAATCTGCTATCTGAGACATAATACAACTGCCAGCAGAGCAAATATAGCGTCCTGCTGCTTTCGGCTGCTCCATTAGGAAAATGTGTGCATTGCAAATATCTTCGATATGAACCAATGAAATAGAGCCCAAGCTAGAATGCAATGCTTCTAATATGGGAAACAATTCAGGGTCCCCTGCACGTAAATAGAAGACTTAAGGAAAATATAGTAAAAAAAAAAAAGAAAATTTAGGCAAGCATACTAGGATCACAAAAAGAATAGAAAATGATCTCTGGGAAATGTTTGGTTTGCCTTGAAAAGTAGATTATATTAGAACAATCTCTTGAGTTTTATGTGAAATGTTATAAAATATGGGCTATATTCCTTTGTTTGTAGAAATAGAATGCATTAAGATTATCTGTTGATTTTAATGTGAAGAAGCATTTATATAATCCTAGTACCAGGTGGAAACAAATACAGAGAACTGTCCAGTTTACCAAAAAGAAAAAGGAAAAAGGAAAGAAAACAAGAAGAAGAAGAAGAAGATGAATAATTCAGAAGATTAGAAAGAATTAACTTGGGTTATACTTCATAGTTAAGCCTATTAACCTACTGTAACACCATGTGTTCGCCAAACTTGCATACAACTTCATATTCATGTGGCAGGAACAGGCGTATCCCTTCCCTTTCAAAGTGTCTATTTTATCCATGAGAGGACCTCTGGATTCAAGTAATACGTCATCATCGTCATCATCATCATCATTTTAGCTTTTCCCAATAATTGGGGTCGGCTACATAAATCCTGGTTCTCCCTTCTGCTCTATTAAAGTTTATATCCTCAGTGGGGCCATAAGTCCTCATATCTTTTCGAACTACTTCTAACCACATCTTTTTAGGCCTACCTCTTGCCCTTTTCAGTCCTTTCACTTGAACTAATTTGTACTTCCTAACAAGTGTTGTACTTGGTCGACGCCACACATGGCCAACCCACCTAAGTCTACTCTCTCTCTCTTTATTGCCTATTGGTGTCACACTTAAATTCTCTTGAATAGATTGATTGCGAATTTTATCCCTTCTTGTTTTGCCACCCATCCATCTCAATATCCTCATATCTGCTACACTCATTCTATGAATATATTATTTTTTGTCCGCCCAACATTCCGCCCTATAGAGCAAAGATGGTCTCACCGCTGTCCTATAGTAAAATGTATCATTGACTAATACGTATTTGTTCTTGCATCCTTTTCATGGGCATTATCATTCCAATAGGGGTCCTTTAGGAAGCTGCATCGACCAACTAATTCATTGTTTCCAGCATCTAATTGTTGCTTCAATTTCGTCTTTGGCACCTTGAGGGACTACAACTCTACAATAACCCAACAGATGAAGAATGTGATCAAACCAGTGTTCGTAAAATCGAACCGGAATGGTTAACAGGACATGGGCCCGGAAGCGATTTAACCAGCCTAACCGGTAAACCGGCTGATTCAACCGCTCTAACAGACAAGTCCCAAACGATCAAAAAAGCATTGAAAAAAATGAAAAAGATACAAAAAGATTCTACTAAAATATGAGAAGCATATAAAGAATGTGATTAAAAAAAAACACACTCAAATGAAGTTGAAAATTAATGAAAAAATAGATTTTTATTTATCGATTTGTGCCCAGGGGTATTTTTAAAATTTTCTAAAAAAGATGGGGAAATATAAAAGTGATTATCAATGACCAAATTGTTTTTTAATCTTTACCATAATGTAATGAATATTAAAATAGTGACAAAAAATCGACTTGACAAACTCTTTTTTTTAAAAGAAAATAAAGAAAAAATTAAGTTATATATAATATAAGCCATTCTTTTTTGTCAACTAACTAGTAATGGTATATTGGTTAATGGGTATAATAATAAACGACTTTTTTATGAGAAGTTTCTAATTCAATTCTAGTGGGCAAGTAAATTTTTTGAAAGGAAAAACATTTATTTATAAGAAATTTATAGTTGGTAATTTTTTGAAACAAAAGAAAAACAAGTTGCAAGCGGGATTTAAACCTTAATTCATATAAAAGGTAACCCTCAATGCTAACCAATGGTCCACTCTAAAATACTTAATGTAAACTTTAAAGTATTATTCTATTTAACGTTCAAAGTACCGGTTGATCACCAAAACCGGAACCGGAGACTAGCCGGTTTCGATCTAATCGGGTGGTTAGCGATTAGATCGGCTGGTTTTGCAAACACTGGATCAAACATAGCAATGTTAGTCATATGACTGATAAATTTTTGTCTCTTACAACTTAAATATTTTTGTTTCCATGGGCATAGGATAGAGGTGGGACTTGAACCTCAGAATTGAATACAACCCCCCAATTTAAAAACAACCTCAAACATGAATTAGACACAGAGGTAGATAGAACACAATGTAAACCTCAGATAAATTGCTCTCTTACAACTCAAATATTTTTGTTCCCATGGGGATAGGATAGAGGTGGGACTTGAACCTCAGAATTGAATAGAAACCCCCAGTTTAAAAGCAACCTCAAACATGAATTAGACGCAGAGGTAGATAGAACATAATGCAAACCTCAGGAACAGCAATCTGGTCAGGCAGCAATGAAGAAGCCAATTGATCAGGGGATTCACATCTTATTACACTCCTTGTATAGGTCATCACTGAGTAAGAATTCAACAGTCATCAATAGTGTAATCTACTTTAAACTCCACAGAAGTGATACCCAGTAATCAAATTGGAAAAGTGGGAAATAGGTCTTTTTCCTAATAAGCAAAAGCAAAAGGAGACATCCTACGCAGGAAGTCAAATCTTAAGGGAGTGGGGTAGCATTGCATGATGTTAGCCAGTCTTTGAATCTAGTCATCCCATGCTAGTCCAGGGAAGCAGTGGCCTCATGGGTCTCTCTGATACCATGAAAAAGGAATGCATCCTTTGCATAACACAAATCTCCTCAATAATAAGTTTTTTTCTCAGACAATTGCCTACTCTTCTCTTCCATCTCATCACAATCAACAAATTTTCATCAAGTGCAAAAGACCTAGACTAATGCATAGAGAATATATTTAGCCAATCAGGAGGGCCACTGCTTATGTGTAAAAGAGCCTGGATGTTTAAAGGGTCACATAAAACATTCACCAGCCCCCCAAGGAAGCCCTGAATAACCAGTTGGATTTGCCCAAGACATGGTTACGATGCAAATGGGGAACCGTTTCATTAGAAGCTTACAAATTCAAGAAAAGTATAACTTAACAAGTTAAGAATCTAAATGATGTAATACAACTTGCATTGAGGATAATGCAAACAAATTTTTATGAAGTTACCAGTAATTAAGGACAATAGAACCCGAATACTTGCAGGTATACTTGCTGTCAGGAATGGGCCGCCAACCGTGACTGGTATACATGACACTAGTTCAATGCTATTATTATCTTCTGCATATACAAAGGCTGTTTCCTCTGCAATGGTCTTAGAAAGAACATATGCCTATGAAGAAAACTTGATCTTATCAGATATCAGAAATGATGGACTCATGGATCAAAACTCAAGCAGTATGTCGAGTACCTAACTGTTCAAAGGAATGCATATATTTTCAATACACAAGAACCATAATAAAGTGCACCAATCAGTAAGTAAATGATCTTCTACCAATGTACGATTTTAACTTTTAAAAGTCACACATGACAAAAGCTGCGCTTACTAGAAACAGACCCCTGTGGCCATGATGGTCTGATGAAGTGAAACATTCTAGGAGAAACTTACAAAGATGCTGTTGTGAAATCATGAACACATTATAATCCTGGAAACTCAATAATGGCCAAATTTCTCACTTCTTTTATCATAATTTCAAATGTAAAATCCCATTACATGGACACTGATGCACTAATAGATAATCTCTGAACAGTATTAAACCATGCAAGCATGAAATTATGTACCTGAAGTTACGAATTAACAACTATATTTCAAATCTAAATCCTCACATGTTATCACGCATATTCAGTTCACAGTTTAATAAATAAAAAAGCAATAATAAATTTTTGACGAATTGACCATCATAGGTTAGAAACATTCAAAGGTGAACTTCAGAATTGGATTAGCAAATCCTTGCACAGTTTTCTCAATAGCATCACATTCAAGAAGAAAATCATAAATTTTCTTCAAGGTTTACTTCCGATATAAATAAAAAAATCTCCTAAAAACTAGAATCACAAATTTGAAAGGAGCATACAATAAATGTAAGAATATAACATATCCCAAGGAATTTCCAAAAGTGTACAACATATTAGAGGAAACTAGTATAAAAAAAGAGTGAAAAAAAAAGCACACATCGTCTTCTATTTACCATCATTTAGTAGTTTCATATAAGGAGAAAACAAGTACAAGCTGGTGTCATAGAGAAGGGCACCACAGCCTTTGGCGTCGTTTGTGTGTGTGTGTGGGTGTGTGTGTGTGTGTGCATGTGTGTGATAGAGAGAGAGAGAGAAGCAACTAGACTTCTAGTTGCGTGCAATATTGTATAACAGGTAAGGATTTGGTCCTTACAACAAAGATAAAGTTCTTTATAACAATAATACAAAGGGAAAAGAAAACAAAAAATACAACACCCCCACCCCCAAAAAAAAAAAACACATTTTCTTTTCTACTCATAAAAGAAAAGGGAAAAGGGAAAAAAGTACAAGCTAGTGAGTATTTCAAATATAAAAACAAGATAGTATAGGCAATCAGATGTCCTAAGACCAAGGTCAGGATCAAAGAGAAGTACACTGCATACCATAATATGAAATACAAATACAAGATAATTCAGAAGAGATGATATGCTGGGACCAAGACCTGTACTCAAGGGAATTTCCCTATATAACAACATTTGCTAGGGTATGGACTGCCTTGTTTGCTTCAAGATATCCATTAAAGAAGAAACATAAAAATGAAATCCTTTGGAGGATCAAATCTGCATCTAAAATTCTAAATATATGCTGACTCCAATGTCACTCCAAACTGACTCTCTCAACTTAAAAGGATTGAGAAAACCAGTACTCAGGCATATCATCCTGCCACCTCTCATCTCCGTCATTGACAATTCCTGCATAACAAGATTATATTTTGAACTTCCATTAATGTTCGAATTCATATGCATACAAGGTGAAAATGCCAATCTCCTCTATGTCCTTAGAATTTAACATAAAACAAATAAACTGCCATTAGCCAGACTAAGACAGAGTATATAGAATACAAGTTTAGTAATAAAAAGAGTAGAGACGAGGAAGTAGTTAAGATTGACGGCACCAAAACGAGAATATTTTTGATATCTTACGTCAATAATTCAAGAAAATGGAGAAATTGAGGAAGATGTGGCATATAAAATTAGAGTTGGGTGGGCGAGGTGGACATGTGCAATTAAAGTCTTATGTGATTGCCGCCACATACCAATGAAGATGAAGATAGGATAGTTGTGCACTAGCTTTCCTTTATGGGGAAGAATGTAACCCTAAACTCTGAGCTGTCAAAAAACAACATACCGATAGGAAGAGCATAGCTCAGATGAGGATGATGAGATGGATGAGTTACAAAACAAGAAGGGAAGGGATAGAATTTGCAATGAATACATTCGGAAAAAACTAGATGTGGCTCCAAAGGTATTAAGATGAAAGAAAGTAGACTTCAGTGGGCAGCGTTGGCCTAGTACAACACCTGTTAAGAGAGTGGGTTGGTTCAAATGGAAGATTAAAAAACTGCAAGGGTAAGCCTAAATGGACATGGTTGGAAGTATTAAGGAAAGATATGCAACTTAGAGCCTCACTGAGGTTATGGGCCTTGATAGAGCATAACAGTAGACTAAGATTCGTGTAGCTGACTCCAAATAGTTGGAAAAACGCTTTGATGATGATGATGATAAATAAACTGCCATTCATATACCCATCTTAAATTGATCAAGCTCTATCTGTGGCTCCCATTATAATCATTAATCTAGTCAATACCAAAACTATATCCCAAGATAATCCAACATGCTTAAACATTTTATCATCCTGGTGATCCACCCTAAGTTTTCTAAGCAAAATACACGTAAATATCCGAAGACTGGTAATTGACAAAAACAACATAATTTTGTCCTCAAATTGAGTGTAATTTGAACCCATGAAGGATCATATCCATCATGATTCGAAGAAAGCCATGGAAATTAACAAAAGTGAGATATTTAAGATATGTTGCAATAAGGAAAAGAACAGTGGAGATTGAAAAATGCCAATGCTGTAGGTGAGCACATTTTGATCCACATAGGTGACTGGAACATGCACTTCAATTTAGGAAAAGTATGCTAAGACCATCTCATCTATCACCATACAACACATTGATGGATAGATAAGCAAAATTATTATTGCTAGTAATTTTCTTAATGTCATTACTTGAGACAGGTAAAGAAGTCTTGTACCTTAGTGATCCAGTTTTGAATTTTGATGAGGTCTAGGATATTTATTCCTCAACGAGTCATTCTTTCCATCATGACTACAGGGGCTCTACTTTATAATAGAAAAAATTGTGATAGGTTGCTATTGTTGTGGCAGGTGCACTTGCTAGAGGTGGTCTACGTTGTGAGGCTCTGTTCATGGACGGTGGGGAGCCATTGGATGACATCTTGTCATCTCTTTGACTAACATCACATGAATCTCGATTGGATTCCTCTTATCAAATTTTTTCATACCTTATCAACTTGACAAAAAAAAAAAAACACATATTTCAAAAATCTCAATAGTTTCAAAAGTTTGGTGAAGGAACACAAACTTGATTATATTATATTTTCTCTTGTCAATTTTTTGTATATCATTTATGTTATCCATGTTTCCATCACTTACTACAATCACTTAGCGGCTTTCAATTATTCGCATTTGTTAAAAATAAAATTTCTACACCACTCATGCTCCCTCTAGTGGACTTTAGTCTACAAAATGAACATTCAAACTCTAACTGTCTGAAAAAGAAAATGACATTAACAGTCTAATCTGTAACAAAAAAAAAAAAAAAAAACAAGATCAACTGTTGCGAAATATATCACTGTAACCAAGGAAAAATAAAAATAAAAATAGAGTCAATATCGATCTTTAATCTACTTCTTGGAGTATGTCATTTAAACAAGAGAATCAATTTTTTGATGCTCATTTTGTGCTTATCCACAGTCGCAGCGGCCATTCAATTAGAAAAACATTAGCATCTTTTTTCAATGATCATGCAAGATTCACATCCGAAATTTGGCAAATAAATTTCAGGATATAGCGCTATTCTAGGACTGGTTCCATGAAAATCTAATAGGCAGTGGGACCAGAAATTACCATCCACGGGACTTGGCATTCCAAACTTTATCAATGGAATTCGAACAAGACTCATCCACCAAGGGTCTCCAGCATCCTTCATCATCAATGGCAGATATGGTACTGATGGAAGATGTGAAGACCACCATCCTCACTGACTTAGCCCTAGAACAGGCTCCCAGAATGTTTAAGGCTCCTTTACTTGCAGTCTGAACCACCTTTGATTCAATGTAGTTCTCTGCAAAATGAAGCATACAATGACAATAATCAACATATGCATAGCCAATATATACATGCATAGGCAAGTTCTATGCATAGTCAAGTAGTTATAGATATGGGTAATGCTGAAGTGGAGTGTCATCCCAACATATGATGTTGCAGCCTCCCTGCGTTGGGATAGGTGGGCAGGATGACATGCATGCCCTTTTAGTGAAGCAATTGATAATGGCTTCACATGAAGGATGATGCAGTCACATCTACACTCTCTAGTGCAGGACACCTGATGAGTGCGCACATAGTAAGCCAATGTACAACATTGAGATTGCTCCAAATTTTGACATATGTCACACATTCTAGAGTCCAGACTATTGTTTAGTGACGTACCCAATACTACAAAATCTTTGAAGCCTCAAGTCTTTTCTACAATCCTAGAAAAAACATCAGTCTTTTCCATAGACAAGCAAATCAATAAAAGGCAATTGGATCAGTTTCTTTTGGAAGGAGTCAGAATGCTCCAAGAAAGATATTGTGCAACTGAATTTCTAACATAGAGTGAAAGTTCTCTTGCTCTTGCCTTTGTTGATAAGTTACTTTCACTCTTCCTATGTTAGGCTTTTCTAGAAATGCTAATGGAATTTCAAATCCTCTCTCCCTCTCTCGTATACATGCACAAAAAATTTATTGGACAGATTGTAAATGAACAAAGTCTATTGGACAAAAATTACAGAAAAGGTCCCAACTTTTTGGAAATATTGCAGCCAGTTTCCATGAAATTGGAGCTTGTCCTGTCAACCATCTCTAACTGTGCTAAGAGGACTTTGATAAGGCTGTCACAATGCTCAATTCAGAGACCCTTGTTGTCCAACAGAGGCTAATGCCCAACTTGCATCTATTTGGCCCAAAATCCTAGGAAAACATCTTCGGATATTCTCATTTGGTCCCCAATAATCAATTGTCACCTGCTGACCCTAGATTTCCTTTAGCAACTCCAAATAAGTACATCTTAAGAGAAGGATTCCAATCAAAAGGAACCCATATACATTTATGCTTCATTTGAGATCAGAGGACCCATGAAAACTCATCCTGTCAAATGATAATGATGGGCATGTCCTTTTCTACAAAAACCGTATTCTTCTCATACCACATGAGCTAAACAATAGTGACAATAAAAACAGCAGAACATGATAAAATACTGCGATCATGCCCCGCCCATTGAAGAATTTAAGCATTCTTCACTCTGAGATTTCTTTGCATTTAATACAGGAGGCAATCCACTTTTTCCACTATCATCATAAACAAAAGACAAATGTTGGGGAGTATCAAGCCTCTGCCATTCAAATGATCAATGATCCTAATTTTGTTGTGCTTAGATTCCATGCAGCAAGCTGCTCACGATTCCAACACGCAAAGCAATCCATCAACATTTTTTCCGATATTAACATTTAACAAGACATACTAGAGGGTTGATTCTAAGAAAGTACAAGTTAAAAAATTCGTCACCATTAATTTCTCAAAATTGGCATGCTCACCATACGCACAGTAAACTTCAAAGTTCTCTGTCTGTTCATTCCTTTAAATGGTTTTATTCACCAATCTCTCTCTCTCTCTCTCTCT